GTAGGGCTTGAGAGGAGGAAATTAGGCCATAGAGATATGAGAGGTCTGTCACTTAAAAATCACAAAAACAATAGGATGTCGTTTTGCTTCTCCTCAAGTAAAAATAAAAAAATTGCAATGTGTAGGCCTATTAACAAGCCACGTGTCAGCCTTATAAGGGCACATATTTTTTCTTATAAGTATAAGAGAGATATACGTACTTAAAATTGAAATGTCATACTAAAATTATAAACAAATCGAGCCGAACTTGAGCTTATCACTACAAAAAAAACACTACAATTCTAACGAAAAATTCCAACGGCAAAAATTTTCGTTGGAAAATTCCAATGACTATTCCAACAAACTTAAGTTTATGTTGGAATAAGTGTTGGATAGTTGAGGAATTCCAGCGGATTTTTTCCGTTGGAATAGCTGTAAAAATTTATTTTTATAGGATTTTTCGTTGGATCTTTGCTATTCCAACGGCCGTTTTTCCAACGGATTTTTATACGTAGGAATATCCATTGGAATAGCTATTCCAATGAAAATATAAAAAATTCCAACGGAAAATTATCGTTGGAATGTAAGTGTTTTTTTTGTAGTGTATGGTACTTGACATCGTGCTTTTAACGAGCTCCGCTCAATTCTCAGCTAAACGAATGGTAATCTAACTCATCAACTCATATATCAATGTTAACGAGGCGAATTCGAGTTTTAACGAGTCAAACTATAAAAAATTATATAGAAGTTTATCTTTTTGAACCTTATCGAGCTGAAATAAGAACAAGCTTTAAATGAGTTTGAGCTCAGATTATTTAAACGAGCCGAGCTGATCGCATAAATGCAGCGCATCTATATATATATAATTACTAGCTCATGCACATTTAATAAAACCTCAAAATTTTTCCCTCCAAAAGAGGTTACTTTGCATTAATTAAGTATTATTTTATTTTTATTTATTTTATTATATAGCAATTACTCCTAACAAATCATAAAGCCACATTAAATGAAATTATAATTTAAATTTTTTTTCCAAACTATTTATTTGATTTTTTTTTTTTTTGGTTTTAACTCATTAAGCAAGTGTTTTTATCAACATTAGTTATTTAATTTTTATGATATGACCAAAATTTTCAAAATTTCGATACTATAAAAATAATTATTTCAATATTGTTTTATCTAATCAATTGTTCATACTAAAAAAGTATTGCAAAAATTATATAACTGCAATCGATATAAAAACTAATATGTAAGTTAGTAGTTTATCGTTCATTTTTACTAATGATAAAATTTATAAAATGTGATATGCTATTGTCTAATTTTTGATTTTAAATATTACATACACATACATATAACATATAAACTTATATTTGTATCTGTGCATGTGCACAAGATCGAATACTAGTTTTGTTTAACAACTATAGTCATATCTTAAAATATAATATAAATAAAAGTAAAATATTTTATAACGTAACTATATATTCTTGTTAAAAAGGTGTGACATATTAATTGATGCGTCTAATGGTTAAGCTGCCTTATACAAGAATCTGTGTTTTTTTTTTTTAATATAGCTACGTTAAATTTTTTCTTAACATTCCAGATTAGTATGATAATATAAATAATATAAACAATAAGTACTAATACAAGTGTATAATTTTTGTTAAAAGAGTAACATATACATGATCGACTCACCTAATTATGATTAAGATGTCTCATGTAACGAAAAGTGAACTTACACGAGGATAAATTTGTGATTAAGCCTGTCTTTTAGGCTATGTTTGGTAGACCAATAAGCTAGCTTATAACTTATTTGATTAGCTTATAAGCTTTTTGTATTTAAATAAGCTCCGTTTGGTATGACGAACTTATTTAAAAAGCTCGAGCTTATTTGATAAACTTCCTTAGGTAGCTTATCAAATAAGCTAGTTGAATTTTTTATTCCAGCTAGCTTATCAGCTAATTTTACCAAACACTTTTATCATATAATCTAACTTATCAGCTATAAGTCATAAGATATAAGCTATAAACTAAAAAATTACTGATAAGCTATAAGCTAACTTATCAGCTATCAGCTAGCTTATCAGCTAGTTTTACCAAACATAGCCTTAATCACCTGTTTTTGTAAGACAAAACATTACATTATTCAATTGTTGCCAAGGATTAGCATCAAAATTCCGCCAAGATTTCAAATCCTCAAACAAATTGAACACAAGATCATGTCTCTTTTCTTCTCCATATTTTGCCTTTTTTTTTTTTGGTTCTAACAAAACATTAGCAGGAAATAAATATTAAAACGACCAAGATTGATGCATAAATGAAGCCATACATAAGAAGACTAATTCAATCGAATAACAATGTCGAACAATGAAATGTTAAAGATATTTTGTTTAGCATTAATTCAAAAGTACACATAGTTGAAGACATGTTCGTACAAGCAACTGGAACCACAGAAAAAGGGAAGATCTTTGTTTATCTTATTTCCTTATTTAGATTATTTTATATACTTATATATAAGATTGCATGAATCTCATTATGGTATCTTTTCTTGTAGGAAATCGAAATCAGGTGGAAACAAGGAAGGAGAAGAAAAGGAGATCCACACTTACCAAAACTCATGCTACATAAGAAAGGAAATCGTATGAGGAGCGCAATTCTTGGATAAGACTCCAACCCTAAGAGCATCTGCAATGCTTTAGGTCTAGTTTTGTCTATGTGGAATGTAAATGAAACTAGGTCTTGGATGACATGGACAAAAATATATAAAATTAACAAAATCTACTCCAATGCAAGGAGACTAGGTCTCTACTTGGGTCTAAAATGGACTTAAGGTTAGACCGGGTCTCCTTTTCTTGCTGCCACATCAACAAAACCTAGTCCACTTACACTTGCATTGGAGAACATATTTTTCTAGACCGAGTCTATTTCCGAGGTGGCATTCAATTTT